GTGGAGCCTTTGTTCATGGCAGCAGCCGCTGCACTGGGACATTCCTAACACCAACCTCACCCAAGGACCCTTCACCATCTGCTGGTGCCTCAGGGAAACCCCGGGRTCCTAATTCTGTGATTAGATGGCAGAACCATCACGGCTGACATTAGCTTTGCAACTCTACACCTTTTGCCCTTCTCCCTTTCATTTCCTATTTCTTTCCATTCTAATTCCTWCTCTTTGGGATCAATGTAGCACGCCATCGCTGCCACGTACAGGARCTGACCGTGAAAGTCCATCGTGGATGCCCACGTGCCCAAGGGTCAGGCCAATGAGGAGCACCGAAACAACGAGCAGTGGATTGAGCTGCCACGATTAAAGTATCTCAGGTACTCTGTATCCTGCACTGATTTCATTAGTAATGAATTCAGTTCSTGTCTCTAACTGGAGCCTGTTCTGCCCATGATGGTCTTTGATGAGTGACCTCTCCTTATCTCAACCCACAAACCCTTTGTTGTATTTTCTYTCCTCTGTCCAKCTCCAGAGGAGACTGAGTGATGGGCTTTGGTGGGTGCCTGGMATCTGGCCCAGGTAAAACCTCTGCAATACCTGAGAAAGGAATTTCAGCCMTSRAGSTGAGCCCTGGATAGAGCCAGGCAGATTCGGAATTGGCTSCTKAACCTCAAGTCCRGAATAAAGAGGGTGATRACCCSCARTAACCAGSTCAGAGTCCCACCCCAGCTGMTGGTGCAATCTGTGAGACCAAAACACCRGGAAACMCTTGGGGACTCGATGCCATGGGCACCGGTCTGTGGCCTCAGACGCTCGGTGTCCCTGTGACAAAAACYRCCARGTCTGTKACAGAGCAGTGCCCGATAGGGCTGAAAAATCACCCTYGGGGYTCATAAATCACCTTGGGAATCGMTGAGAGGGGGACCTGGTTGGAACCTGTGGAGGAACTGATAAAGAGAGTGATTTTTCTAGCAAGTTCTGTGGCACAGGAGCAGCACTTGCCCAAAGTGAAAGGTCAAGGAGAAGTCAGCTGTAATATTGAAACATAACAGTGATATCCACATCCACAAACCCTTGCAGGACAATAAACGGATTTCCTGAAGTGGACAGGGACATGCAGATTATTTAAAGGAAAAGAGCTGCTTCCAAGAAAATACAGCCTCCTTTAATGAATATGTATAATTATGAYGGATGGCACTGGGGGGGCGTGGCACTGGGAGTGGGATTGGGGCAATGCAAGGCCGGGGGAAATTCTGGGGACAAGGGGCGATCCATAGATTTGGGATCAGGGTCTCAGGATGTCCCCAGTGGTCTCCTGGCAAGAGCTGTCCTCCTCCCTTGGGCTGACCCCAGTTCCCCTCCCTAGCCTGTCACAGAGGAACCCTTCCTGTGTCCCACAGTGTCYCCTCYGTGTCCCCATTGTCYCACACTGATCCCTGTGRCCTCTCCCYACCATGRCCCCCCTGGCTCAGAYCCTGGCACTGCTGGCAATGACCAYGGCCACTGTGGCCATCAAGGTGGTGCCCATGGACATGGCCCCGMAYTCMTTCGATGACCAGTACTGGGGCTGCCGTGACAAAATGACYGCGGYGTTRCCGGCCYTGMACCGMYCWGAGCTCCAGCAGAACTCTCTGTTCGCCCAGSCCGTGGAYRAGTGGCAGAAGCGCGGGTCCACTGSTCTGTCCCCAGCCCAAGCCTCCACTGCCGTGGTCTACTCCATAGATTACCTCTACTGGGAGTTGAAAGCGGCCGGACGCTCCCACCAGGAACACCAGGACAACTTCCACTTCAAATCCTTGCTTTTCCTGCTGCCTGACGSCCTGGGCACACTGAGGATCACCTGGGGACTGCAATGTCACCACGTGTTCTGGGGGTTGCATGGGGTTCGGTTTGAGGTATGGCCCGGCCAGAGGGTCCGGTTAACTCACATTGATGTCACTGAGCAAAGAGATCTACCAGAGATTCGGGATGGACACGATGTTCAGGTGACCACCAGGCACGGCATGGACATACAGGATTTCTCCTACAATAAAAGCCACAAGGAGGTGCTGATCCCACCCTTCAAGACCTTTGAGGTCACCGAGGTCACCCGGGAAGGGGACAAGGTGCGGATTTTGCTCCGCTTCACTGGGATGCACAGCAACTACAACTGCGAATGGCTGCGAGGTGACGTCATGGGGACACCCACTGGGGAGACAGGGACACATGGGGGGGCGGGGGACAGGGACAGCCCATGTGGGGACACCCATGGCCAGGAGGGGACAGGGACACCCACTGTGGGGACATGGATGGCCAGTGAGGGTAGGAGGACAAGGACACCCAATGCTGGGGACACCCAGTGTGGATAAGGGGACAAGGACAGGGACATTGCTGAGAACTGGGAATGGGGACACCCACTGCCAGGTGAGGGGGATGGGGACACCCAGTGCAGGTGACASCCATGGCSAGGAGGGSACAGGGACACCCACTGTGGACACAGGGACAGCAACACCCCGTGCTGGGGACACCCATGGGGTTTGGGGTAACAAGGACACCCAAGGCGGGGTATAGGGGACAGGGACCCTGTCACAGCCCGCTCTGACCCCTGACACCCTCATGGCTCCCCTGTCACCTGTATCTCCCCTCAGGGTCCCCTGACCTTCTGATGGCCCCCCTCWCCTCCCTTTGTGTCCCCCAGGTGGGGGGCATTGCCAAGGACCGTCCCYGGTCCCCCACCTCAGAGGGCTCCTCTTGGCCACTGCAACCCTGACAGTGGCCACCGGGACCCTCTGACACACGAGCCCACCAAGACTACAGCAAAAACCAAGGMCAGCATGTCCACCATTGTCACCAGGGCCACCAGGACCCCCAGAACAAGGACAAAATCAAGGCTGCCAAGACCACCACTGCCACTATTGTTGCATTGTCCACTATGGCCACCATGAGGCCACTGGGGCCACCACTGTCAAAGTGGTCACCATGGCCACTGTAGCCACCAAGGCCATTGTGCAGAGCAGCTCAATTAAATAATTCCATCAAAACAATTCCATTGAACAACTCTATCAAAACCAGCAAAAAGAGCCGATTCCTAAGCAGGGCTCGATGTCACTCCCCACTCAGTCCTGGTGGGAAGGTCTCTTTCTCTGAGCCTCGAGGAGAAGCCGTGGGGAACATCCCCTTCCCGAGGGAGGAACCTCACAGACATCTCTAACTGGAGCCTGTTCTGCCCATGATGGTCTTTGATGAGTGACCCCTCCTGGGCCTTATCTCAACCCACAAACCCTTTGTTGTATTTTCTTTCCTCTGTCCATCTCCAGAGGAGACTGAGTGATGGGCTTTGGTGGGTGCCTGGMATCTGGCCCAGGTAAAACCTCTGCAATACCTGAGAAAGGAATTTCAGCCATCGAGGTGAGCCCTGGACAGAGCCAGGCAGATTCAGAATTGGCTCCTGAACCTCAAGTCCGGAATAAAGAGGGTGATAACCCCAATAACCAGCTCAGAGTCCCACCCCAGCTGATGGTGCAATCTGTGAGACCAAAACACCGGGAAATCCTTGGGGACTCAATGCCATGGGCACCGGTCTGTGGCCTCAGACACTCGGTGTCCCTGTGACAAAAACCACCAGGTCTGTTACAGAGCAGTGCCCGATAGGGCTGAAAAATCACCCTCGGGGTTCATAAATCACTTCTGGGGATCGCTGAGAGGGGAAACTCCCTGGGGGTTCCTGGCCAATGATTTCCTGAGCTGCCACACCAGCGAGGATTCAGCTGTCTCCTGGTGCTGGCGGATCCCTTTGTGCGGCTCCAGAAGCTGCTCCTGCCCCACCAACAGGGCTGGGGAAGGCACTTGGGCAGTGTCCAAAGGGATCATCCCCAGGCTCGGGGTGCCCGCAGGGATGGCACCCCATAGGGGACCCCRTTTGGTGTCTGGAGTGTGACAGCAGCTCAGTGAGCAGTGGGGAGTGGAGCTGGGGCCACTGGGGGGACGCGGGAGCATGGCAGTGGGATTGGGGTCCTGGGGGTGAGAAATCACAGGGAGAACAGAAACCTCCAGTTCCCGTGGAGGATCTCGGTAGAGATCAGAGATGAACTGGGAAAAAGCTCAAAGAATGGAGAAGTATTTACATGGGATGATGGACCTGGCTGGAACCTGTGGAGAAACTGATAAAGGGAACTCCAGTGGGAATTTGTGACAAATTCAGTGACACAGGAGGGGCAGCGCCTGCCCAAAATGAAAGGTCACAATGAGGACATCTGTGATATTGGGGCACTTTGTGAAAATGATCCTCAAAGACCCCTTCTTGTGTCCCTGCAGGACAATAAAAGGATTTCCTGAAGGAGGTGGAATCATGGAAATTATTTCCAGGAAAATGCTGCTTCTTTATTCGATAAGAAGCCCATTTTAATGAATATGTATCATTGTGGTGGATAAACACCCCGTGGCAAAGCCTCCCCTCAGCTGCAGAATCCATCACTGAGAGAATCCTGGCTGCCCCACAGCTCCCGTCCTGGCACGAGGGTCACTGCGGAGCATTTGGGTATCGGGGGCTGAGGGGACACCAGGGGACAGTGGGGGGACACAGGGCAGTGGGATTGGGGTGCTGGGACAGTGGGGGGGACCCAGGACAGTGGGATTAGGGGGCTGGGACAGTGCAGGGGACAGTGGGGGGGACACGGGACAGTGGGATTGGGGGGCTGGGACAGTGAAAGGGACAGTGAGTGGGACACGGGACAGTGGGATTGGGGACAGTGGGATTGGGGCACTGAGGGGCCACCAGAGGGGTCGTGGCACTGGGAGTAGGACTGGGGCCATGGGGGACAGGGAGTGATGCTGCAATTTGGGTTGGGGGTCTGGGCTGACACTGAAGGGGTGATGGGACTGGGCGGGATTGGGGTCCAGGGGAGAGCTGATGGGGACACTGGGGGACTCCAGGATTGGGATTGGGGTCATGGGGGATGGGGGTCACTGGGGGCAGTAGAGGGGACTGGGAGCAGACTGGGATTGGGGTCCTGGGGACACTGGAGGGACACTGGGGAGGGACACAGGGACACGGGACTGGGAGTGGGGTTGTGGGGCTGGTGGGCACAGGGGGGATGCTGAGGGGGGACACAGAAGTGGGGCCCACAGGGTAATCATAGGTACGGGATTGGGATCATGGGGGACGCTGCTGGGGGGACAGGGAGTGAGCCCAGAATTTGAGCCGGGGTCCAAGGGGACTTGGTGGACACCAGCCCGTCACAGAGGAAGCTTCCTGTGTCCCACAGTGTTCCCCCTGTTTCCCCATTGTCCCACACTGATCCACGTGGCCTCTCCTCTCCATGACCCCCTGGCTCAGATCCTGGCACTGCTGGCAATGACCGCGACCACTGTGGCCATCAAGGTGGTGCCCATGGACATGGCCCCGAACTCCTTCGATGACCAGTACCAGGGCTGCCGTGACAAAATGACCGCGGYGTTGCCGGCCCTGAACCGCTCTGAGCTCCAGCAGAACTCTCTGTTTGCCCAGGCCTGGGCTCAGGCCATGGCCGAGTGGCAGAAGCGCGGGTCCCGCGTGTCTCCTCTGTTGTTCTCAGCCCAGGCCAT